GGGGGAGGCGCTGGTCACGTGGTATTCATCAAACTCCCGTTTTGAGCTAGAATGCTTATCTTTTAACTCTATCTTTTTTATGGTGCGAAACGACCCTGAAAATTCCAGGTCGTTAGCTCAAAATGTCCTCGAGTTATTGCGCGGACAGAAAGACAAAACAAAAAAAAAATTGTCTTCCGACTAGATGGAGTAATAGGTTTCGGTTATCGCTCAGCCAGAAAAGTCAACTTGAAGGCTAGCACTACTCTCTACCCACCTTACTTTATACACTGTAATTCTTGATGCAATGAAGACTACAAATTTAGTGCAATAATTTGTTATTGCATTAAATGCGATAATTTTAACACCTGTTGCTGCGATGATAAATCATCGCACTGAATTGACATTTGTCATTGCATTGAATGCGATAATCTTAACATATTTTGCTGCAATGATAAATTATCGCAGAAAAATGTGCTAAAATTATCGCACTTAATGCAATGACGAATGCCAATTTGGTGCGATAATTTTTTTATGGCTTCCCCAGGTGCAATATTTTGTGGGAATCGCTTTTTGGCTATTATCGCATGAAGTTGTATGAAATTTATCGCACTTGACATAACAGTGTAGGGTCTCCGTGAATAGGCATATCATTTTGTACGGAGCTTGTTCATTTTGATTTCCGTTTAAGCCTAGAACACCCTATTTAATAGGACCTTGTTTCGGGTACTTTTCAACTTTTCGCTGGTACACGCTATTAATACCTCCCCCCCCCTGTACAGGAGTAGGGGAGGGAGGTATAAAATGTTCCGTAGATAAAAACCTACGGCATATAACTTTCCTAGTATTGATATCCGCGGTAGAAATCTCCTAGGTGATGTGTACCGTCTATAGCCCATGGGGGCGCATGGGGGTATAAATTCTCGCTAACATTCACACCCCCGGTATAAATCCGCTAGGGCATTTGCACCGCGGCGTATATATATCTCCTACAGGTGACCTCTTCATTGCTTTCATCAGCACCTTACCACTTAAAATAAGCCTTTGAGTAATTTTCAAAGAAAATTTCCTTTCTTGGCTTTTTTTTTTTAAGTTAAGGAGATAAGCTGAGAAGTGGAAAAATGGGGCGAACATCAAAACGGAGACCAGAATACTTTAGCATCGTGGCTTCCGTTTTCTTCTTTTTCTCCCCCGCATTACATTGTGTTGAAGCTTTACTGGAGTGCTTGTTTCTTTTTTCAACGACTCGACTCAGGTGTCATCGCAGCTGTCCCAGATACTAGATGTGATGTACGTCAGGCGCGTCGCAATAGGGTATGTCGGGTAAGCGGAGCTGTGGAAACGGAACTGCCCAGTCCACCGCTGGTTCCATCTCTGCCGTTGTTGGGCGATTCCACCGAGATGTGCACATTTTCATGACGCTTTCTGAGTTTACTTTTGTTCTTGATTCGAGCGGATCTTTTCATACATCGACAATCGCGGGTCAAAGAATCAAAGTCTCTCACTAACGAAGCTTTCTAGTCAGCCATAATTTTACAAAATACGTTTTAACGGGAGTAAGATATCTGTCGACGGGAGTTACAGTAAAGCTAGCAAATCGTCGACGGGAGTTACACGAGAGTCGACGGGAGTTCCATGAGCGACGTACGTCGGCGGGAGTTACATGGACGTCGACGGGAGTTACTGGTCGGAGTCCGTGGCGAGTCCACGCGAGCTAACCAACAAACAGCGAAACGTCTTCGTGAATAGATCATGTCAAAATAAAGTCCAAAACTAGGGTTGGAACGGTCTTTTTTGACCTTAATATGACCCTTTTTGACATCTTTGTGACGTTTTTAAGTTTGTTGGTACAAGCTGGATGCTAGGTTATGTTGTCGTCTGCGGGCCGGCCGGGCCTGACTTATGATGACGTGAATGACGGCTTTTATTTTCCTAAAAAGAACCATGTTTTAAACCATTTTGATGGCAAAGAGGATATCTACATGAAGGTAAGGACACACTGAACCGGCACTAAGGATTTGCAATAGCCAAACAAAGAAACAAGCCATTTGCCAACAAATACAAACGTGTGACCTGACGATCTCGGAGGGTCGCACGATACGGTTAGGCAACTTTTATAGTTGTTAAAAAGCACTAATTATGTTGATAAGGAATAGTCCTATGGATGATTTTAATTCGTTGTACTCTCTACTTTGATTTTACAACACAACCAAACATGAAAATGTCCCGCACGTCTTTCTAGTAGCCCTTCAGTAGTCACCAGCAGCAGACGAGGCCCGGCTTTGTGTTTGCGACACGCGACTTTGAGGCCCGTCTAAATATATTTCTCGTCCAGTTCTATGGTTGACAGGTTATAAATGTGATTTATCAGTCCTTTTAAATTGTCTGGTAGTGTTATGTATGCTGTACGTTGGCACACCTGTATAAACCCTAATGCAAGGCTGTGAACCATGTTTATAAATTGCAAGCCGAAAGACCAATAAACCACTTGCTCTCAGTTGCTACTCAAACGTCTTGTCGTCCGTTCCAAGTCCGCTCAGTCCTCTTGTCACCACCAAGCCTTACCCGGTACATGACATGGCGCAGTCACAGGACCTATGAATGAAGTAAGCATCGCTATCGGAAGCAACGTGTGTGTCCGGGCCGTACTACCTGGCCTCGGGTACATCACCCTGGCCAGCTGTTGTGACCGCGTGGTAGAAGTCGTCGGCCTGCCCACGTGTGCTTTGACAGCATGGATGTTGAACCGAAACCTTTGATTCCGGGAGCAGACATTGCTCAGCAATGGGAGGCCTTTAAGTGGCAGTTCACGGGTTATGTCGAGCTAGACTCAACCAGAACAAGGTGGTCAGCGGAGAAGAAGGGCGCTGCCCTGATCCTTTTGATAGGCCCGGACTGTGCTTATTTATATGATGGAGCTACGGCGGATCAGAAGAAGGACGTTCAGAGCTTGATTGAGCATATTGATGCTAGAGTCGAACCAGATACAAACTCTTGTTTTGAGAGGTACCTTTGCCGTCAACTCATTCGGGAAGAAGGAGAAGATGTCGACCACTTCGTATCAAAATGTAAATCAAAACTAGCCTACTGTGGTCTTCATGAAGCAGACATTGACGTGTTTGTCATTGACTCTTTGGCGGCGTGCACAAATTACGTAATACGTTTAGGGGGGGG